TCTCTCGGCCGCGCAATTTTCGCTTGGAAAATTAAGAAACTCGTAAAAAATCAGGCGAAGAGGAAAGTTCGTTGGCCGTCAAGTTTTCCCCGTTGCAAAAAGTCACTTTGTGTGTTCGCCCTTCTTTCCTTTTTTATGACACGGTTCACGAGACGTCCCGCGAGTATCGCAGCCCTCCCACACCCCCCTCGGTAGGAACTAGTTTGAAAGAATTTTTAATTAATGAACAGAGCCCACCTTCGCGGAAACTCCATAACGACCGTAACACGCGGCCCTTAATAACCATTTACGAGGCCGTCGACGACCGTTCCTTAATTATTGGAACAGACGTCGACGGTCGAAGGCGACGAACGAGCTTGTAAACGAAACGCGACGGTACGATGCTGAATTACGTTGGAAATCGATTTTGCAATTGGACAATGTGCTCGTAACGACACTTGGTCCGAACAATTGTGAGAAACGACTTCGTAAAAGTCCATTCCAGAGCTAGAATAAGGTCTCTAATTGACTAATCTTCTATTAGGAGAACAGTGAAACTTGAGGAGGTTGAATGGTTTCAGAGAATCAAGAAGAAAAGGAAAAGGCAGAAGTCATAAATTTAAAGTGTTAAAAGATATTTGAAAATTAATAGATTCTACACAGAATTATTTTTATTTCATGCAATATCAATCTTAGAATTATAATACAAAAGCAAAGCTTGAGAAATGATAAATTTAAATTATTAAAAAATATTTGAAAATCAATAGATTCTACACAGAATTATTTTTATTTCATGCAATATCAATCTTAGAATTATAATACAAAAGCAAAGCTTGAGAAATTATAAAATTAAATTATTAAAAAATATTTGAAAATCAATAGATTCCACACAGAATTATTTTTATTTGATGCAATATCATTCTTGGAATTATAATACAAAAGCAAAGCTTAAAATATTAAAAGATATTTGGGAATCAATAGATTCCACACAGAATTATTTTTATTTGATGCAATATCAATCTTAGCATTATAATACAAAAGCAAAGCTCAAGATATTAAAAAATATTTAGAATTCAAGTCCTCGCTTTATAAATTGATCGGAAAGATTCAAGATCTCATTTGACAGCAAATTTTCCGAAGCTTCGATTTATCCATTGAAATTTTCCCCTTTTTCACAAAGTGTGTCAACATCTATCCAAGCAACCGAGCAAAATAATTGCTGCACGTTAATTGCTCGCACAATTACAACTTTGCTTCGTTTTCCTGGTGACAGCCGTCAGAAAGTTTCTATACCTTTCAGATGTTCATTGATTTCGTTGTATAAAAAGCATTAATTGCTGTTCCACGCAGTGCGGTTTAATAGCTCTATCAAGAATCAAAATAGCAATATTTTAAATTGCTTTTAATGATTATTTGATCGATTCGATGGCGATACCTGGAAGGTTTTTTCGTAAAAAGTATGTTAAAACTAGGAGAACGTGATCGAGGGTGTATGTGATGCGAGACCAGTGGTGAATATTCTCGTTCCCTCCAAGGGATAGAGTCCCGTAGCTGAGGAATATCCGTCGACGAAGTTTCATCTTGTTCCCTCGTTAACGCGTGGCGATGTGCCAGTAACGAGGAAGAGGAAGTAGTAACGGAGCAACGGCGAGAGAAAATGGTGAGAAGGATAAGTGACGAAGGGATGAAGGGAAGGCTGTGCCACCGAAAACGTTTGAAAGTTCGAAAGTCGAACGACAGTTTCGCAGCTTCGAAGGATTTCGAAATGAGAGCATTATCTCTGCAAATCTAAGTATAATGCACCTTTCTAGTTGTTCGAAAAATAATCGTCTGCTTGGAACTTCTAATTAGACGAAGATAAAAAATATTTCTCAGGATTATGTGATGAGAATTTTCAACTGGTTAATAGAGTAACTGGAAATCAAATTTGAGAAATGATTTTTTATTTTATTTAAAAAAAGAAGAATAAAATAAAATGCGATTACAGGAATGCAGTTTGTTGCATATGCACCGATTTGAATGCAATTTGTATTTATTAATAAAATTATTTATATATGAGGGATAAAAAAAGATGAGATATTAAACATTCAGGAAGGAACAGACTTATGTATAAAAACAGATTTACGAAAACTAAACGAGGGAGTGAATTTCAAAGAAAAACACGGTATTACTGAATATTCAGTAGAACAATTCGTTATGGGTCAGACCTGTCGTTCCATTTACGGAGTGTACTACTTAAGTCCGGTTAAAACTATATTTGCATTTATTTTGTGCTGTTCAAAAATTCTCTACTGATATTTCTATGATATTTTTGGTAAAATTCATTGTCTATATTAAATATTATTTAATAATTTGACCAAAACTAAGAGTGCCTAGCCTTCTTGCTGTTTTTTCTGAAAAATAATTTTCATATATTTTCTTGTAAAAATGAATAGTAATCATCTTGTAATTAAATTAATAATGAAACTCAGAATTCAATTATTATGAACGAGAACAACCCAAAATATTCGTATACCTTGCATTATTACAAGGAAAACAATTAACATGCTCCACGAACTAGAAATTCATACAAGCAGAAGGTTATTAGTTGCATTATTTGCAACTGAAACAATTGTTTATTAGAGAGGTCGACAAGATCGTGTAACGCTAATAACAATGATATTCAAGGAAATTTCTTGTTATTGATTTTTCGCGAATCTCGCTGTGGTATGAATCTATTTTAATTAAAATTTCAATTCAATTGCGAATAAGGTCGATTAATTAAAGACCGCTTGAAACTTGATACGAACAAGCACAAAGCTGCTTACGTTCCAATTAAATGAATCTAATTTACCCTATTAGCCGGTGTTCCGTGAAAAATTTATGTACAAATTTGAGGCAATTAAAAATTGTAATCTTTGTTAAAAACGTCCAATTAATTTGATGTTCTTTGTTTCGATTAAGGACGATGATCTCTATTCTAAAGAAGAAGTATTTCTGTAATTTTTTAACCCTTAAACAGCGAAGCTTGAATCAATCATGGCTCTCTCCGTGGTCCGCCATCCGAGGGTTAACGATAGCCCTATATAAAATAAAATCCTCTTCCTACAGAAAATCTAAAAGTAATTCAGCAACAATTGCTACACCTCAGAATAATATTCCTCTTCAAAATAAAACGCACCCCCTGAAAACATAAATTCTGTCTTAATCAAACCCAACCCTTGATTACCATAGGAATCAGACAATTGTTCGAAGCACACGTCGGTAAACAGTGGAATGCCTTAAAAAATTCGCAATCAACCCCAATGTTTTCGCATTACGGATAGCGGATGAGGGTTGAAAGAATCTACCACTCGTGGCATCGACTCGAAACTTTTATCTGGCTGACGTGTAGCTCGAGTTTCCCGTATTTATGGTGCACAATAATGCGGTTGCACAGGGACTCGAAGTTTCCAACGATGGCTACCTATGTGTGTATAATAGTACGTGTACGCGGAAGAAGCCTGACAACTACGGAACGAGAGGAATCCGAATGAAACCAGGATATCCTTGCTTTCCAGCCTGCACAATGCTGCCCTAAACTGGCGGAGTTACCGACAGAATTACCTATGCGGCGAAAGGGTGTACAATTTGTGCGTATAACTCGATGGTCCGTTCATCTTGCCCCGAGATATATTGCCACGCAGTGACGTAGCGAAAATTGCCGAGCCAGAAACTGTGTTGCAACGAAACTCCAATTAAGACAAAAAAATTTTGTAAATCATTTAAAGCTAAAAGTGTAATATTTTTCTTTTTATTCACAAGGGTCGCGTTGACATCGCACAAGTGCTCAACCCTTTCGCTTCGAAAAGGGTTCAAAGGTTTTCAACGTGGTGTTAACGAGCGCTTAAGCATCTCTTGGAAAGTAGATTATTGCAGAGGAATAACCAGGGGGTCGTGAAAATATATATGGGAAACAGAGCAACACTCTTCACGCAGCGAAAGAGATATCGCGCGGAACGTAACCCGGGACGCATTGCAGACACCGTAGAACTTTTCTTCGCACTTATCCTAACTCCCATAAAGTAGAGTAACACCGAGACCGGTTTTCCACGCGTGTCTCCAAATCCCACCGCCATCCACTAACACACTCGTACACCATCGGCGAAACTTTTATCGGCACGAAGCGAGGAGGGTTCTTTTCCTCTTTGCAGCAACCTGCGAACGATCTAGTTTTCTGTTTATGACGAGAGGCCGGCTCGTTTCGAAAAAGAGACGAATGTACCCTGGTATCGAACGCTTGAGGTTTATATTTCGAACGGGGTGATTTTCTTTATGGCGGGGGATGAATTTTAGAAAAGGGTGAATTTTAGTTTTGTGGTTTCGTGTTGGAGAAATTATTACTATTCTTTGGTTCGGATGAAAAATTATATTTCAGTGTTAATTTATTTTCTGCGTTGAGCTAGATGTACAGTAGGCTCTTGTTATAAGGCCACATGAACGGTAATATAACTAGAGTCTATTGTGTACATAGCTCTACGTAAAAAGTTGTTTTTTGTTTCATATGAAAAATTATACAGAGTGTTAATTTATTTTCTATGTTGATGTAAATATACAGTAGACTCTTGTAATATTGCCGCTCACATGGTTATATAACAAGAGTCTACTTTATACCTAGCTCTACATAGAAACTAAATTAGTTCTAACGTATAATAATTTTATTTAGTAGGTAGTAATTTCTCTATTACAAAATTAGAAATCAAGGCTCTTGTTATATTACCTCTCACGTGGCTCTATAACAAGAGTCTACTGCATACCTAGCTCTACATAGAAACTAAATCAGCATTGATGCAATAATTTTTTCAACCAACGAATAGTAATAATTTCTCTAACACAAAACTAAAAATTTAGACTCTTCTTATATTACCGCTCACGTGGCTATATATTAAGAGTCTACTTTACTAGTAAAATCACATAGGGTAAATAAAAATGAATTTTTTAAAGAAGGTCTATATTATAGGAATTTCTGAACAGTAATAATGTTAGATATTATTTATTTTCAGACGACGTGCCTAACAGAACTGCCAGACGTGGCACCGTGCAACGGCACAGTGCGACTACCACCGCCATGCGAGGACTCGCCAAGCAGCGGAAGTAGCAAGGATCGCAGAGAAGAGAGTCCTCGTAGAAGATGCCGTGTATTGGCGCCAATTTTACTCCTAGTCGCGGCTCTGCTTCTCGGAGGGCTTTGTCTACCATTGCTTCTACAATCCGCGCCTGTCACGCATCAGCAGAGGCTGGACGTGATCAGGAGGATCCTCACTGAAGTGCCTCTGATCGATGGGTAAATTATCGTACAACTTTGAATAAAGTTTCTTAAAATTGTTTAGAATAATCCTACGTCGTATCTAACGAAAGTTAATCGTTCAAGAGACGGATATAGCAATTTAATTCACCGCCAACGAGAATTTTCAACTGAATGCTCTCTCAGCGAAGCGTTATCCGCGCGTTTGTTCCACAGGCACAACGATTTGCCCTGGAACGTCAGAAAGTTCGTACACAATCAACTCGGCGAGGTGAATCTGAGCAGCGATCTCGGCAGAGTTGATCCCTGGGCTAGATCAGACTGGAGTCACACAGACATTCCTAGATTACGTGCTGGTCTCGTCGGTGCACAGGTGAGCTTAAACTGATATTACTAGATTAATACTTTTTTTACAGTTACGTAGTATTACGGTGTTCAACATCTCTATTACGAATTAATGGTGATTAGGAAATGGTAGATTTTTAAGCATAGAAATTCTAATATGATTTCAAATAGCACTTATGATGCATCAATTTAAAGCTTAAAGCTTCTTAAAAATTACTATATTAACGTTTTGTCGATATTCTTGGTATTGGATGATTGGTTGTGGATCGCAACGAACAATGTCATTGTTCTAAGTACATCAAGTATCCAAAAAGTGTTAGATGATTTCATGACATAAAAGTATCGCAAAATGATACTTGTAATATATCAATTTAAAGCTTAAAGTCTGAGGAATATTTCTGTATAAACGATTTTTCAAAATTCTTATCATGAAATGAATGAAACTTAAATATAGTGCACCTTGTACTTCATGTAAATTCTAGTATGATTTGATGACACAAAAGTGTCTCAAAATGGTACTTGTAATATATCAATTTAAAGCTTACAGTCTGAGGAATATTACTATAAGAATGTTTTTGAAAAATTTTTAACACAAATTGGTTAGATCTTAAATTTAATAAACCTTTGTAATTTTGATTTAATTATATAGAAATATTCCAATAACTAATCTATTTCTTTTTTTATATTTCATCTACAGTCGAGTAATTATACATTCGATTTGTGTCGAAGGTCCCCCGATTTCTAGACTGCTATTGTTTCCAAACAGTTTCTGTTTCCCTCGATTCGACAGGTTCCCTTTGAATTTAATTGACCGCTCTTCGATTACTCCCCGAGGGTTTAGGCATAAACTTGCCTGGGATTTACCGATACGTTCCTTCGGTGCCTGGCTCGATAGTTTCAATCGAAAGTTCTCGGCTTTGCCGGCGTTAAACGGTAAACCAATCTTGCCAATATCAATCTTGCCTCAATATCGTCGACGATGGCGAAATTCAAACGCCATCAGAAATGTCGGCTAACACCCGAGAACAATAATTACTGAAGCCGAGAGTTCCGTTTTGTGGTCTAGTATGAAACGAGGACCAGGTGCTGCTTTCCAAACCGCGACCATATTTGGGTTTAAAGTTGTAATTGGCTAATTAAGGTAATAAATCTTTATGACAATTTATATTTTTATATTCTGTAAATTTATTAGAAAATTATTTTTTAAATGGACAATATAAAATTTAAAAAATTAAAATAATATAAAGTTCAAAATTAAATTAGAATCGAGGCTCTCTTCATGGTCCGCCGTCCGAAGGTAACGAAACGTATTATATTATATTTCTTATTTTGGGGCAACAGTTTTTCATTCACGGTCTAGCGGTCGTCGAGTGCGGTCGTGTTTCTGTGGCCTGCTGCGTCCCACTGTGACTTATTAGGCGTCTATCGTTGTCTTTGTGATTTCGCGCTTTGTGAATGTTTGTGATCACGGCAGCCCCCGGCTGATCGTTCAGAGTTCTTTATCACGAATTCTTTAGTAATCGTGTTAAGTGCATTTGTGCTTTCCGTGGCTGCTCGCAGCCGTCGTGCGCCTCCCGAGGCTGATGCCCTCGGAGGTGCCCTTCAGGATCCGACGCCCTTCCCTTAAGAGGAAAGGTCGATTCCGCTTCACCTCCATCCCGCTTAACGCGGAAACGAAGCCCTCCAGCACGTCTTCTTCAGAGGACGCCTTCACCGCCATTCAGGCGTCCCTACACGACTCAGATTCTCGCGCGGCGTCGCCACAACTTAGTACAGGTACCCCGATCCTCGGATCCTCTAAATCCCTTGATAACATCGTCTTGGTAAGTAACATTACACCCATTATCGCCGATAGCGCGTCAAACAGTGTAAAATTCATTCCCCTGGCCGCTGGCGTAATGGCGCCGGCGTCCACAAAATCCACCAAAAAATCCAAGATGGCCGCCACCAAGCGCGACCTGTTCCCTCCGCTTCCACCTGAAGCATCGAAGGCTTCTTCTTCGACAGTTACCGCGGCGTCCCGCCAGGCGGCGCCCTGTATGTCGCCTACGCGCACCTCCACCTGCGCAGGCCCGAGCGTGCCGCGCCCTCTACTGATTGACCGTAAATTTATGCATTCGAACTCGATCCTCAGCCTCGATCCCGCCACGCGCGCTAACACCCTCGAAAACCACCCCTCAGACGATTCGGACCAGGACTCCGTAGTCAATATGGATATTGAGACCGCCGGTATCAGTCACGCGCCCAACGTCTCGACCCAAAATCGGTTCACCCTGTTGGAATTCTTCGATTCCACCTCCCAGTCCTTCCTCGAAAAGGCAGAGTTCTCGAGAAATCCCTCCTCAAACCCCGCGCGACGCGATCGCTCTATGGTCTCCGAGCCCGCGGAGATGCGCCCGAAACGCGTCTCTACCCGTCCCCCGCCAATTTATTTGCCGCATTTCAACGGAAATGTCGCGCAGCTAAGCCGCTGTTTGAAGGAGGACTACGGTGACTCCTTTAAACTCAAATATCTGGGCACCCGCGTCCGCGTCCACCTCGAGACCATCGAGCATTTCCACCACCTCAAGGCTAAACTCACCGAGGCCGGTAGCGAGTTCCACACCTTCACGCTCAACTCTGACAAGGGCCTTTCCGCCATTCTAAAAGGCCTCCCAAAAATGGAACCCGAGGAGCTCGCCGCGGAAATAACCCTCAACGGACTCAAACCCCTGGCCTGCTCGCCACTGTCGAGCAAAAATTCGAACTCCCTGTACTGCTCGTACAAGGTTGTGTTCCCGAACGGCACAAATCTATCCTCGGTGAAGAAAATAAACCACCTATTTCACACGAGGGTTTATTGGGAAAAGTATTTCTCTCAGAAGCCTTACTCCCAGTGCTTCAGGTGCCAATCCTTCGGCCATTCTTCGGCTAACTGTAATTTAAAACCTAGGTGCGTGAAGTGTGCGCAGTCACACTTGGCACACGAGTGCAAGAAGCTTCGGGAGGAACCCCCGACCTGCGCGAATTGCAGTGGCACACACACTGCTAATTTCTCAGGCTGCCCATCCCTGGCAAAGTACCTCTCGAAGAGGGAAAAGCCTCGCGCGCGTCCCACTCCCCCTGGTTACAGTGCCCAAACCACCCAACCCGCCCTGCGACCCTCCCCCGCCACCCTCAGACCCACCGTCTCGTATAGAGACGCTTTAAATTCCTCCCTCGGTAACATCCCAACCGCCCCTCTGTCTGGCCCTTCTTCTCCGACCCTCTCTCCCATGGAGGAGACGTTCAGCGTCTTCCACCAAATCGGCCAGATCTGCGATATTAGTCAGATGTTGAATGCCGCGAAACTTCTGCTAGCGAAACTTCGCACCTGCACTAATTCCGCTGACCAGTTCAGCGCTTTCATGTCGGTCCTTTCAACCCTCAAATAGGGCCCCATCTTCCCTCATTCCTGCTCTGGAACCCTGGCTCGCTCCGCGGTCGACGGAACGAGCTACTGTTCTTGTTGCAGAAGTACCAGGTTCATGTCTGCCTCGTCTCTGAGACATGGTTGAACCCTGCTGAGCCCTTCTCCATCCCGGGATATTCTACCATTCGATCTGACAGAACTGACGGCAGGGGTGGAGGTGTTGCCATCCTCTGTCACAGTTCCCTTCGATTCCAAGAAATCAGTGTCAACATCGCCCCGGGAGTCGAGATGGTTGCCATCAGGCTCCTATCACCAGCGATCTCTGTCGCGGCTGTTTATGTCCCTCCCGACTGCGTGCTCTCTCCTGACGCGTTAAATAGACTCTCCTCAGTGCCCGCCCCTTTCATTCTGGGTGGCGACTTTAACTCGCGACATCCCTCGTGGAATAATTACACCGCTAACCGATCCGGCAAGATCCTACACGATCATGCCCTTCGCGCCCCCTACAGGCTAATCTTCCCTCAAAAGTTCACCTTCTTCCCGGCCCCTCCCAAGAGACCCTCCACCCTAGATTTCTTCCTGGTTCACCACGACTCGGCGTTCGAATGTAAATCAATTGATGATGCAGCCACACAGCACAAGCCAGTGCTACTAACACCCATTGCTGGCGCAAGGCATTCGCCGAGTGCCGAAAAAATAGTAGACTGGAAGGCTTTCCACCAGTTCACTACTAGCTTCCAGCTAAGGGACCGGTTGGAATCTAAAAATGAAATTGATTCAACTATTCGAACGCTTGAGTCGTTTTTGCTCGCGTGCCACCGCAAATCCACTACCTTCTCCGAGCCGGCTCACGCAAAATCTCTCGTTTCCGACCCGCGTCTAAATTCGTACATCACCGAACGCCGTAAAGCCAGGAAAATGTTTTAGCGCACGGGCGCCCATTATTACTCAGTTCTGAACAAAAAACTGTCCAAGGAGATAAATCGCCGGATAACGCAAGTGAGAAGTGCCTCCTGGAATAACAAAATCAAATCCCTCCGGAAAGCTGACCCCACCTTTTGGGGCACTTACAAAATTTTAACTTCCTCCAAAACCGTCTACCCTCCCCTGAAATCAGCAGCCGGCCCGCTGACTGCTGACCTCGAGAAAGCCTCCGCGTTTGCTACAAACTTCGCGAAAGTCCATGATTCAATTTCCGCGCTAAACTCTCCCTTTTCCCAACGTGTTGAGGAATACATCTCGCGACTCTCCCGTCTTGTTCCGGAATCCCCTCGGAGGGACTTGGAAATTGCCCCGGCAGAGATCGCCTCTATCGTTAGATCGCTCAAGAGCAAAAAGGCTCCAGGGCAGGACCGCATCATCGCTCAGATGCTTAAAAATGCCGACCGAAAAATCATTCTGCAGCTCTACTACATCTTTCGGAGCTGCATTTCCCTATCCTACTACCCCGCCTCCTGGAAGGTGGCAAAGGTAGTCCCGATTCCCAAACCTGGGAAACCCAAGGACGAGCTGGAGAGTTACCGCCCCATCAGTCTTCTGTCGCTTCTTGGCAAAATCTTTGAAAAAGGTCTGCTCCTTCGTTTACGGGAATTCCTCGACTCGAGGAAGGTCCTCATCAACCAACAGTTTGGCTTCCG